CGTTCCTTAATGACATATATTTTCTGTCTCTTTGCTTCATTTACAAAAAGAGAAAGGAAGAAGAAAAGGGGAAAGAGGAAGGAAGAAAGGAAAGAAGAGGGAGAAAGAAGAAAAGAGAAATAAGCCCATTCTTGATTCAGACTTGAAACAAAAGAAAGCTACCACTAATGAAAGAAACTGTTACTGAGGCTTCCTTAGTGTCAGAGATTCTAAGTGCTTCAGATAAATTAATTTCTTTTTAAAATTTCATTTTGTCCTTTTCTCCCTTTTGGTCCTCAAAACAACCCTCTGAGAAGAGTTATTACCTCAATGGTTATCAAACCACAAAAGCTCTGAGAGAGAGATGAGAGTGGATTCGCATCAGGGCAGGACCATAATCTGGGTCTGCTCTGTCTAAACCCTCTGCTGGCTTCCCCAACACTGAAGGAACTGGGGCATGTGGGACTGTGAGGATTTGTGTCCCAGTCTTGGGAAGATCCTCTGGAGAAGGAAATGGCAACCCACTCCAGTAGTCTTGCCTGGAAAATCCCATGGATGGAGGAGCATGGTAGGCTACAGTCCATGGGGTCGCAGAGTCGGACACGACTGAGCGACTTCACTCACTCACTCACTCAGGAATCACCTGTCGCTGAGATGAACTTGTTGTAGTTCTCATAGACCAAGGTCTGCATGTCGCTGTCTAGAGCCCGGATCTGCCGCACCATGTCCGTCTCACTGTCCATCAGCTGGGCCAGTGGGCACTCTCTACGCAGCTGGAGGAAATTAGGTGGTTAGTGTTCAGGACAGGGGGCATTCATGTCCCCAACTGGTAGGCTTTTGGGGCAAGAAAATCCTGATCCCACCCCTGTCAAGAATTTCAGACAAGGAAACTATAAGTGGCATAGCTCAAGAGTTACCAGGTGAGACTCTATTTGAGGTTTGTCAGCATTTCAAATCCTCAGATTTAGCAAGTCCTGGTCCTTCCTATGCCAGTCAGCGCCTGGGACACGCCCCCTATTCGGGTCTATCTGAACATCAGCCCAGGAGACCTCGGACTTCACACCACCTCAGGCCAGTTAAGGTCTGCCCACGCACCCTTATCCTCCAGTTCTGCCCCTACAGCTCCGCCCAGGGCTGTCCTGCTTTTATGAACCCTTCCTCCCACACCTCCGCAAAAAGTCGGAGGCATGAATCTGGGGCGTAATATATCAGGGGCCTGTTCCCCCTCCCCCTCCACACACACCTTATCCAGGTATACTTCCGGGTCGAAGTGCGCCCCATTGAGATCGGTAGGGTCCAAGGGGTCCGGCCCCGAGGGGCGTCCCGCCGCCTCCCCCTCTGAGAGGCCGTAGTAAAGCTTCAGCATTCCGTGCGCCTTCCGCCGACGCTCTGGAGCCTCCGCCTCGGGTCCTTCCGGGGAGTCCCCAGGTCCAGACCCTGGGCCAGGCGCAGCGGCTGCCGCCGCCATGGCTCCAAGTGCAGCCCACAGGCGTGAGGCCGGGCAGGGGACAGGGAGGAGGCACTTCCGGGAGCCATAAAGTTGTTGTTGAAACGAGGCAGTCCTTCAGGTGAAACGTCCCCCTGCAGCCTCGAGTCCTTCGAGACTAGAGTTCCCCCGCATGTTTTCTCCCCGAGCTCAGCGGTTCCGGGAGAGCCCTGGGTTCCCCCTCAGCTTCTCAGATGGAAGAACTGGTTGGGTCGCTGTCTTCCCGGAAGGAGGACGAGTCGTGGCTTCCACCCTCTGTCCCTAGATGCAGTGGAGGGAGCGCGGGCCAGTGGAGCCAGAAAGCGTGTGCCTGGCATCCTGCCACTGCCTTGTTGTGGGGAGAGGGGGCGGGCAGCAGCTCATTTTCCTTCATTCCTAATATCGGGGTACATATTTCACAAGGGGACTGTGAGGATTAAATGCATATATTCTCACCTGGAAAATCCCATGGAGCCTGACGGGCTACAGTCCGTGGCGTCTCAAAGACACGACTTGGGGACTAAAGGACAACCACAGTGCCTCAAGAGAAGTGTTTCTCGTGGCCTGGTCCTCTGACGCGCATCAGAATTGCCTTCAGAATTAACCTGTGGCGAGTTGTAAAGACTCTGGGCTCCCCTCAGACCTAGCTTCTTAAGTCTTTAAGTAATTCTGATGCACTTAAATTTGAGAAATCCTGTTATACCCTGAGAAGACACACTTGGTAGATCTTAAGTCACTGATAAGGCTTCTCTGATGGTTCAGTGGTAAAAAATCTTCCTGCAATGCAGGAGACCTGGGTTCCATCCCTGGGTTGGGAAGATCCCCTGGAGAAGGGAATGGCAAATCACTCCAGTATTCTTGCCTAGGAAATCCCATGGACAGAGGAACCTGGCCAGGCTACAGCCCATGCACTACTGAAAGACTAACCTGGCCAGGCTACAGCCCATGCACTACTGAAAGACTAACACTTTGTTTCTTCAAGTGACTGTTGAAATGTGCTGCCTTGAGGGGTTAGGTGGAGGTGTTGAAGATAATTCTCAGGTTTCTGGTTGGGACAAATGTACAGCTGTTCACTGAAGTAAAGAACTGAAGGTAAGGAAAGACTTGGGAGTTCAAATTGAGACACCCTGTGTTTGAATGGATGAAAAGGGAGAAAAAGACTTTGTCAGTGTGGTCTTTGAAACATATGATGGGGTGGGGGTCCGGGGTGGGATGAAAACCACTTTATTTATTATTTGGCGGGCAAAACGTAAACCATTTACTATCTTGTTTTTCACAGAAAGTTTGTTGACCCCTGAATCTATGGGATATTCAGAGACTGTCTAAAAATATATATATATATGAAGATTTCAGCTTATGAAGCTATCATCTTAAGAAAAATGAAGACAAGAGTATAAAGATTTAGATCTACTCTAGGAAATCTATAAACTTAAAAAATCACAGAATACTGTTAAGAAAAATTATCCAACAGTTGGAATAAAGACAGTGTAGCATGACCTTCCAATACCATACTGGGGCATTGTTTCACAAGCCCACCCAAGGACTATTTAATTACCCATAGGAGTGTACATTTGTTTGATCTTGCTATTTAGATGGTTAGAGAGATGTGAAACAATTCCAGTGGAAATATCCAGTGGAAAAATAACCTCAAATTTTTGTTTTTATTGCCCTGTATGACATCAACCAATCTTGTATCTAGTAATCATGTCCTAACACTCTTCTTTAAATGCCTATCAATACCTAGCTCCTCATGATGCATTACACATGAGTGAGGGGGAACCCCTTCACTGAAGAGTTAATGTATCTTAGTTATGTGTTTATTCTGTAAGTATATTTTTAACTTTTAAAATATGTAATTTGGCTGTGCCTGGTATTAGCTGTGGCATGTGGGATCTAGTTCCCTGACCAGGAACTGAACCCGGGCCACCTGCATTGGGAGTATGGAGTCTTAGCCACTGGACCACCAGGGAAGTCCCATATTAACTTTTTTTAAAATTATATTTTAACAATATGTATGGTGTGATTTTTTTTTAAATTACACATGTAGATACATACATGCAGGTGTATGAAGTTATATCAAGAAGGGACTCAAAAGATGCCCACTCACCAAACTGTTGAAGGGGTTACTTCTGTGGGAAGGGTGTGGAGGAAGATTCCTCTGTATGCTTGGGAATCATGCAAATCTTCCTCAAGAACATACTCTACTTGGATAACTTTTTAAAATGTCATTGAGGCAGGAGACCTAACCAAAAAAAAAAAAAGTTGATCTGTATTCAAATGAAACCTAAAGTGTGAACAAGTATTTCTACAGTGTGAACACAGCAGGGGATCAGGCATCACCCCTTCAATGTGTTAAGATGAGGTCTGAGGGTTTTGTGATTAATGACACTGGGCAGCAACCATGGTTGATGGGGTCAGGCTCTAACCTTACTCCTCCCAAAGGCAGATTTCAGATCTAGGCCAGGCCTGGGACCTGACTTCTGGGGCAGTCAGGCAGGAGGCAGTGGGGCTGGCCAAGTTCAAAATCAACTTTTTCTACTTTAGTTCCTGGGAGATTGCACGTCCCTCCACACCATTTGGGGCCAGTTTTCAGCCTTATTTTGTTGACAGTCCTGGAATTCTCACCTCTCACATATACAGTTTTCTTTTCTTGGCTTCTCTTCTTGCCCATTCCACAGCCTTGGGTAGAACTGGACCTTAGTCTCAGTACCAAGTCCCTTACTGTCTGTGAAAACTTGAGCAGACAATCCCTCTCTGTGCCCCAGGTCTGTGCGTAAAATAGGCTTTGTGCCACCAATCCCAGTTTTCTCCTGGGACTCCTGGCACAGTAGAGGCAACAGGTGTGAAGATGCCAAGTGCAGGAAGGTGGCAGAGGGGAGAGCTGGTCAGCGTCATGTGTTGGAAGAACATCTGGGAGAAGATGGAAAAGCCAGTTGCTCTCCAGGCCATGCCTGGGGAGGGTGTGGGAAGGTCCCAGGACAGCTATGGAGGATCCACTGTCCCTTCCCTTCCATCAGGAGCTGGAACAAATACTTGGAGCTTGTGATCCAGCTCAGGCCTGCCCTCACCTGGTTACACCCTCCAGTTACACCAGAGAGGCTTGAATAGATATCACACCTGACCTCTCACCCACCTAAAAGGTGCTGTGGATCCACATGCCCCTCCCCTTTTCTGGATCCCAGTTCTTCATCTGTGGAATGTGACCACACTACCTCCAGCATGGACATGTTGCAGACTCAGTGAGAAGACTCACACCAGAGCACAAACTGGGATGAGGAGCGCTATCCCTTCCTCCGATAGGGCCCCCTGCTCTGTACATTTAGCCTGGCGCCCTTCACCAATTCAGAGCTGCCCTGGCCATCCATGAAACACCCCTGTATTGGCCGGAACCAGCCCATGTTCTAGAATCTTGTTCTCTGTAATGTCCTTCTTATTCTAGAATCCCACAGCTATTCCAGGCTGGACGCTCTAGAACCAGAGGGGTCAGCTGCTCTTCCTGGACAGCGTCTGCCTGCTCAAGCTCTGTGGCCCGCCTTGAGTCCATGCTCCAGCCATGATGCGGTGGCGGGACCGCGTGGCCGTGCTCTTCTTCCCACAAGGCATGATTCTCACCATGGCCGCGCTGATGCTCTTCTTCATACACCTGGCTGTCTTTGCCAGTGACGTGCACAACTTCTGGGTCACCTACCGCTACGACCGCATGAGCTTCCGCTACACCGTTGTCCTGATGGTAGGCCAGGGCGGGGGCTTGAGAGGTGGTCCGGGCAGGCCCAGGGGCTGATGGAAATCCCACTGTTGTCAGGGGCCACTCTCCCACGGGATGGGGCCTACAGTTCTCCCAGGTGATCAGCATCTGCTGGGCCGCCATGGGGTCACTCTACGCTGAGATGACATATGACAAGTTTCTTCGCTGCTTTTCCCTGACCATCCTGAGTGAGTAGGGGAGGGAGGTGGACTCGGGGAGGGGGGAGCTTTGGAATGCGGAGACACAGCAAGGAGGGGCCAGGCAAGGCTGACGGGGGCTCTCTCCTCTGCCCAGTTCTCAACGGGGCCATGTTCTTCAACCGCCTGTCCCTGGAGTTTCTCGCCATCCAGTACCGGGAAGAGAGCCACTGAAGCCTGGGACCCGGGCTGAGAAGGGGGAAGGAAAAGGCTGCTTCGGGTGTTTTAATAAAGTCTATCATTTATTTCCACCTGTTGGCTCCTTTTGGTCGGCAGGAAAAATGGGGAGACGGGGGCGGGGGGAAGCTGGAGACCCAGGAGGAGCAGGTCAAATGCTTGATCCGCAGGGACCCCAGGCCTAGCCTGCAACCACTCTGGTGGACTTGACTTTGGGTCTGGGATCTTAGTGTCTCAGGCTTGAGAGAGAGCAACAGGGAAGGGCCCCCCAGACGCCCTCCCCTACCCCCTCCTCAAGCCCCCAGGTCCTAGGCTGGCCCGGCCATAAGCAAGGGTTCAGGAGGGACCCACACGGATGTGAGGGTTCATGAGCGGGTCCAGGTTGGGGTCGCTGTCAGCTGCAGCCCGGCCCAGGCGAGACATTAGGGCCAGCAGGGCCAGGAAGCCCAGCAGCCCCAGCAGCAGCAGCAGCCCCGCCCGCTGCAGCAGGGTCAGCGGCCGCTTACGGGACCCAGCCCGGCTCCTGGGGGGTGAGGGGAAAGTCAGGTCAGGCCTCCGGTCCCTGGTGGCCCTGCGGCTGGGAGAGGAGTGCCAGCCACGACCCTCGTCTTCTGGCCCCAGTGCCACCAGCCCTGAGCCTTGTTTCCTCAAATGTGCCGTGGGGGCACAGGGGGCGGCTCATCCCTGCGCCTGCCCGCTACAAGGATGATCGTGCAGCTCAAAGCAGCTGAGACAACAGCTGTTTTCTAGAAGCCTGAATGTGTCAGGCGTAAGGGGTCACAAAGACTGGGAAGGTGTCAGAGCAGGAAGGGGCCTCAAGAGCCTGAGTCTGAACCTCATACATAGCAGGCGAGGAAAGAGCTGGAGAGAGGCAGACCCCAGCCCAGGCCTCCGTGCAGGGCCCCTACACCAGGTCCCGTTACTACCCAGGACAGGCCTCCTTTATCATGAAACCGTCCTGCCAGGGCCTCTGGCTCTCACCTCCCCACCTCCCCGTTCCTAGCATTCCCCATTCCTGCCCCACCTGACCCCATGTACCTGAGCAGCTGGGCCAGCCAGCCCAGGGCTGGCCGGCGCCGGTACTTGTCGTCATCGCAATCCCGGTGGAGGCCTGGTGCCCGCTCATCATCCCGTGTATCATACACCTTCCTCGGGGCTGAGGCTGCAGGGGCAGAGCCACCGGCATCCACAGGCTCAGGAAACTGGCCCAGAGTGGGGTGGGGAGGGGGGAGGACAGGAGACCCCAGCCCTTCTCAGCCTGACAGAGCATCTTGGGATCGTGGGGAGGTGATGTCTGATGGAACAGGAAGGGTTCTGTGGGTGGTGGGTGGACTGCCAAGCTCCCACCCCCCATTCTATCCCCCTCTGGCCTGGACAATTCTCCAGCTCACCGTGAGTCAATGGCTCGGGATTGCCCATGTGGATCACCGTGTGCTGCTCAGGCCGGCTCGGGGAAGCAGGGGGCCGGGGGACTTGGCTGTAGAAGGCTGGGGCAGCAGAAGCACTGGCTGTCTCCTGTTCGGGGCTACCGCTGGCTACGGGCAGGAAGAGAGCAGTCAGCAGGGCAAGGAGGCAAGAACCCCATCAGCAGTGAAAACCACCACTTACCATTAAAGCTGGACCAGTCAGAGAACTCGGAAGTGTTGAGGGGTTCAGGCTCTGGGCTCACCATCTCGTCAATCTGGAGGAAAGAACTGATGTCACCAGTCTGCCCAGTGCTATCTGCACCCACCCCTCTGGGCCAAATGCGACCCAGGGCAGAAAGACTCTCACCAGAGGAAGACCCAGTCCTGCCCGGGCCCAGTTGACTGTGGCCAGCTTCTCTCTCAGCGCAGAGGCCACGGGGCCGGCCAGGTTAGTTGGAGGGAAGATGGGGCCACTGCAGCTGGGGCACTGGTAGCCAGCAGGTGCTGTGTTTCGGGGGAGCTGGGCAGCACGGTCATTGAGGCAGGCCCAGTGGAAGAGATCTTAGAGCCCACGAAGTAGTGGAGAAGAGACATGAAGAAAACACTTAGGACCCCTAGTCCACTAGCCCACTGCAGAGATATTTGCACACATCTTTGTAAGCCCAGGGCCCCCTCCTTCCCAGGTCAATTATATCAGTGTTCCTTAAGACTTTGGTCTTCCTGGCCACCACTATCTTGACTAAGACAAGTCAGATGCTACCAGGCTGCCCAGCCCACTAGGGGGTGGGGGGAGGTGGGAAGAATATGCCACCTACCCTCTCCAAGAGTCCTCTCTGGACCTGCACTCATCACAAACTCACTGGGCTAAGAGCTCAAAAGGTTACTAGACATATACACAGGCAACTGTATGCATGTACACATCCATCGGCACAAATGCACACGTTTATATACACGTAGTCAAACACAAGTGCCATCCCCTGTATCCACACTTATGGGCACACTAACTCTCACATACACTCAAGTATGCTAACACCCAAGCATTCACACCCAGGAATTCTGCAACCCCACAACGTGCTCATATGTTCACATACAACACTGACCCATTCACTCACCCACAGTACCAATGAACACACCAACAGATAAAGACACAATGCACATTTAACTCATGCACATATAAACACACACTCACAGTGAGAAACACATATGTTAAGCTCACTCTCTTACACTAGTTCCTTCAAAAAGTGGAGCTAAGGCTCTTACAGCAGAGTCGGGTCAAGATCACAACACATGCCTCTGCTGACTTCTTTTAACTGACGTTACTGTGGGAAATTTGGTTCCTCTCTGTGTAATGTTGGAATTAGGAATGGACCCCGAACATCTAAGAGCCCCATGCTTTCAGCTCACTACAGGTACAACCAGCTAATGCTCACAGTCACAACCACACCCAAGAGATTGGCAGGGAGGAGGCTAGCAGCTTAGTTTTTAGGGAAAAACACTAAGGCCTAGAAAGGGAAAATGACTTGCCTGAGCTCACACAGCAAGTAAGGTACCTAGTGGGACCAGAATCTGAGTTCCAGCCTCCCAAGCTTGAAGGTCTCACTGTCCTGCTGCTTGGGGAGCCACTGGAAACCACTCACACTGGTCTTGTCCAGATCCCCACCCCCAAGGTGCCCGGGCCTCACCATAACAGATGAGGCGGGTTGTCTCCCGAGCAGCCAGGGGTATGTTACACAGGCGGCAATTGGGGTTGTAATCGCTATCTTGGAGCCACTGCAGGTAGGACTGGACGATGCACTGAAGTGGGAGAAGGAGGTCACACTGGAGCCAGGGCTCCACAGCCCATCTCCCCAAGGCCCAGGTGCCTCTTTTTCTGTCATCACAGAGGAGATTCATTTTTCTGTTTGACCAATCAATAAACATTCATTGAGCACACATCATGTGCCAGACTCTGTCTTAAGGATTGGGGATACAAGAGTGAAGAAAATAAACGAAGTCCCTGCCCTTGCGGAGCTTCCATTCTAGGGCCAGACCTTTCATAAATTTGGAGGAAGTCAGTAGGACCTGCCCACCTAGTGCGCTGCTCTACCCTGAACACCCACCTTGGCGTGATTGGCTACCAGGCAGTGCTCGCAGACGTTGACCCGGTGTTCGAAGCAGAATAGGTTGGTCACCTTCCTCTTGGGGCACTTGCAAAGTCCCATAGTCGACCCTGAGAAAGGTGTCACAGTTGGCAGGGAGCCAGGTTCTGCTGACCTCTACATATCAGCCCAGTTTGTTTCCACTCTTAACTTCCCTAGACACCGCTCGAAACCACCCCAACCTCAAGCTCCCGCCCACCGTCCCTCTACATTCTGGGCCGCGGCCCCTGCATAAGTCCCGCCTCCTGAGACCCCCGCATTCGTCCCTCATCCCATCCTCGGGCAGGCCCCTCCATCAGTCTCTCCGATACCACCGGCCCCGCCCCCAGAGGGCCCTCCTGAGCCCCACCCCCTCCATGCCCCGCCCCCACCTTCTCCACAGACCCCACTCTCTGTGTTACTAATCGGCTGCGGCACCGGTCCCCAAGGGCGCGAGCGCCGGGCCGAAGCGCGGAAGGTCAGACCACGTTCAGCCAAGCTCTCGCCCAGCTCTCTCCAGCTCAGAACGCTCCGATTATCCCTCGGCTGCCACGTCTCTTCCGGGTGCGGCGCGCGCTGATGACGTCAGGAGGTCAGTGACCACCCCACCTCCCCTGTAGACGCTAGACGTGGAGGCGGGTGGAAAAAGGAGTGATCGGAGCTTGGGGGCCCTCCCCCTTACGTCACTTCCGCTTCCTCCCGGGCGAGGCGGGTAATTCGAACGCTTTCCCTTAGGGTTGGCGCGAGCTCTGGTGGCGGCACCTGTGGCAGAGGGGATAGAGACCAAAGCAAGACATGTCCGAGAGACGAACCCGGTCCGGAGGGGCTGCCCAGTGCCCCGGTGAGCGGAGGGGGCGCGCGGGGGAGGTGGGGTTGAGCCGTTTGAGGGACGCAGTTCGGTGAGGAACGCCCTCGCCCCCCGTCTCCTGGCCCGGAAGGCGCCCCCAAAGGGCCTGTTTGGGAACCTTTTCTCGCTTTCTTCAGAACCTGTTGTCTAGACTCTGAGGCCTAGAGTCCTCCCCTACCTCCTAAATTTTTCTGATTGCAGGACCCAGCGCCCCAACTCCCACTCGGTCTCTGCGGAGGTCCCAGCGGAAATCAGGCTCTGATCTCCCAAACACCCTCCCGGAAATCTGGCCTAAGGTGAGCCTCAGGTTCCTCCTGCCCCGGAATCCCCTGGGCTAATGTAGACCTCATGTTCACTGCTTTTCTCCAGGCGCCTCAGGAGGTTGCAGTCAGAAAGCCCATCGTCTTGAAGAAGATCGTGGCGCATACCGTAGAGGTGAGGGCTGAGAGAGGGGTTGTAGGTGGGGAGCCAGGATTGGAAGTCAGCTGTGTGATCAATTCGTCTCCACAGATCCCATCCGTTAACACTCCTCGAAGAAGCCCCCGGGTAAGTTCATTTTCATTTTCTTAGTTAAGGGGAATCCAGGACATACACTCTAGAGCTGGGGCGGAATATAATGGCTGCTCATGTCTTGTGGCTCCACTGGTAAAGAATCCGCCTGCAATGCAGGAGACCTGGCTTTGATTCCTGGGTTGGGAAGATCCCCTGGAGAAGGGAAAGGCTACCCACTCCAGTATTCTGGCCTGAAGAATTCCATGGACTGTATAGTCCATGGAGTCACAAAGAGTTGAACACAACTGAGTGACTTTCACTCACTCACTCATGTCTGCCCAGGGAGTTGTTTTTGCTGTATTTTGAAACAATTTGCCTTTGGACACCTACATATGTTGTCAGGCTTGCTTACTTCCTGCACACTTGGTGCGTTTAGTGCCCTGGTATTCTCTACCATTTTCCTTTTAAAGTTGAGCTGGGTGTTACTACTCTTTCTTCTTTCTAGCCTCTTTTTCTCAGTAACCTATAATGTCTTGAACTGTTTTAGCAGAAGTTATTGTTAAAGGTGTCTCATTAACAGATCTGCACCTGAAGATATAATGAATGAGAAATGTTACCTGCCTTTGAGTAGCTTCCAAGGCTTGTAGTCAACTGGGGAGAAAAACAAGTGATAACATAGTATGCTGAGGACTGTAATAAAGAAAGTAGTAGATGCTATAAAGGTATCTAACCCAGACCAGGTAGCTCAGGGAATGTTTCACAGAGGTGTTTGAACTGAGTCTTTGAAGACAAGTTAGCATTGTTCCAGGGAAAGGAAGCTGTGTTTGTAGACACCTGGAGTCCACAAGGAAAAGCACAAGGTTTCAGGAACAGCACTTTGGGTGTGTCTGCAGTAGACCTTGTCAGGAGAAGGAGTGTGTTAAGCCAGAGCAGATCCTGATGAACTCGGACTTCATCCTTCGTTCTGTGGGCAGCTTTGGAGAGTCGCAAGGTAGCGACTGAGGCAGCCTTGGGTGTTTTAGAAAGATCCTGCTTGGGTCTAGTTGGAGAATGGGTTGGAGAAAGCCTTCTGGGGACTCCAAGACCAAGTAGGAGGACATCAAAGGAGCCCTGAAGTGAGACATTGGGAGCATGAGGTAAGGTAAAGGCAGAGTGTTGGTGGACTACTGCTGGAGAGCCCTATCACACAGGACTCAGCTCAGAGGATACCTCCTCCCTGAATCCTTCCCGATAGGCGTTATGAATAGCCAAGAGTACTTTGTATATTTGTTGTCTTGAGGACAGAGACTTCTGTCTCCCTTACGGTGGCCATTCTTTTTGGTTGAATGATAGATTCATGAGATATTGGACCAAAAAAATGTACAAGGACTTGGATGGCTGTGGGGACTGACAAAATGGTAGTCTGGGTGACCCTCGTTTTGTTCAGCATCCCTTTTACTAAGATTGATGGGATAGATTCCCCAGGGCCTGTAGCCAGGAAATGTCTCTCATGATAACTAATGTAATTCTATTAAACCACAAGGGTCACTAAATTTGTCCTGTTTCTCACCTTAGTTATCAACAAGCTCAGTGTCAAGTTTTGTGAAAGTCAATTGAGCCTCTATGTATTGAACACCTACTCCATGCAGGGCTCTGCTGAAGATACTGGGCATAGGCCAGGTCAACCAGACAGATGACGACACCTGCTCACCTGTGACATGCACATTCTAGTTGAGATCTCAGCCAACCAGCAAATAGTCAAAATCAGGTAGTGATCCCACTGACCAGGAAGGGGGTCACTGTGACAGTGACAGGCAGAGGTAAGGAGGGGCTGGTCTCAGTTCCATGGTAAGGGACGGCCTCTCTGAGGAAGCAGCACTAGAGCTGAGACTGGAGTTATGAGAAACCAGTGTGTGAATGTCTTAATACATATGTCAGATTAAGTGCTTTCCTGTTCACAACCTTGCCATGGCTCTCTGGGCCTCCCCTTATAGTGGCCTGCAAAACATGCCCTATAACACCCACGTTACCTCTCGAATCCCATCATCAGTTTCTCGGCTCACTCCCTCTCACTTCACCCTCACTGCCTTTCTTGTTCCTTGACCCTGACTGGCAGTTTCACCTCAGGACTTTGTACTTTCTGTTCTCTACCTGGCACAGTTCTCCTCTGGATGACTGACTCCTTTGCTTCCTTCAAGTGCTACCTCTATCTCGGTGAGACCTACATTGACCTACACCTACGTAATATTCTAGCTCACCTCATATACACTCCATCCTGTTCTGTTTTTTTTCCTGAAGTGCTTAACGCCTTGAACATATGACATGATTCCCCCTGTGGTCTGTTTTCCCCACTAGAATGGAAGCTCCGTGGAAACGGGTGTCTTCTCTGTTTTCTTCCCTGCTGTCTTCCCAGTGCCTGGCAGGTGACCAATGAGGACTTATTGACTGGATGGACATTTTAGGTCCTGTGGGTCTTTCTTTTCACCCTATATCTCCTTGGGCCTTTCTTGAAGTCAGTAACACAGTTAAATAACTGGGAGGCATTCTCTCTTCTGTCCTGCTGCAGATTGCTTCTTTATTGGAGAAAGAAAACAACCCTCCTAGCAAGAAGCTTACTAAGGAGGACCTCTTCCAGACCTGCAGTGTCCCTGTCACCGCCCCCTCCACTCCTGTGCTGTGCCCTGTGAATGCTGAGTCCAACTCCTGGAAAGGAGACTTGGACGCCAGAGACTTGGAAATGTCAAAGAAGGTCAGGCGCTCATATAGCCGCCTGGAGACTCTGGGCTCTGCGTCCACCTCCACCCCAGGCCGCCGGTCCTGCTTTGGCTTTGAGGGGCTGCTGGCGGCTGAAGACTTGGCTGGAGTCTCGCCTGTGGTGGATTCAAAGTTGGCTGAGGTCCCCAGGGTCCCTGTGAAGCCCTGGGCCCCAGACACGACTCTCCCTGGAATCTCCCCTCTGGTTGTGAAAGAGAAACGAAAGAAGAAGAAGGCGCCGGAGATTTTGGTGAGTGAGGGGCAGGGGTCTTCCTCTGCTACCATGTCAGACACACGGGGAGACACATCAGGTCACAGGCAGGGCCGGGGCTCAGCGCTGGCTGTTGTGGTGGAAAGGCAGTGCCTGCAGAGTATGGGTGGAGATGCACAGCCGACATGCCCCCTTCGCCACTCACCTGCCCCCCATTTCTCTTCCCCCAGAAATCGGAACTGGATGAGTGGGCCGCGGCCATGAATGCTGAGTTTGAAGCTGCTGAGCGCTTTGATCTCCTGGTTGAATGAGATGAAGTGGGGGTGTCCCTGGCCAGACTCTGCCCTCCTCCCGCTGTACATAGTTCCCTCTCCCTGTGGAAAAGACGCTTGGGGTCCCCTGCCCTGGTCTTGTTCCCCACGCATGTGCTGTTGCTGCATGTGAGGCCTGTCTTCTGGGGGATGGTGCAGCGGCGGCAGCCATCCAAGCTTCAGGAAATGGGACCTGCCTGGTTCAGCATCACATTGGTGTCCCGTCTGTAGTCAGTGACCTATCATCCTCGCCCCCCGCCTCCGGAGTATCCCAGCCACTCTCCAGCCAGGCCACAGACTAGGGAGCAGGAATCACTGGCCCAGCCAGAGGAGGTTAAAGGACTGGGGGTCAGGGAGAGAGAGGGCACTTCTCTGCTCCTGTGGGGAAGTGCCATTGTTCTGCACCAGCCCACCGGAGACGGATGTGGGGGCCACAGCCAGCCTCAGGCTTTCTCTACTGAGTCACCTCTGCTGGGGCTTGGTTCCCCTCCTCGAGCCCATCTAGGTAGCGAAGCTTGGGTTTCCTCTTAGATTCTGTAGATGGTCCGGGAGCACTGAACCTGTGGATTGGAGAAGTCCTATCTGTGAGGAAGAATCTGGACCCTCGGCCTATGGAGTCTTTTTTGTAGGAGAGAGGGAGGCCTTGGTTGGGTCTCAGACGGTAATGTCTACTACAAGGAAGCTGTATTTTATAGTTCTGTGTGTTCCTGCTGAGATGTTGGGTTATGCAGGCTAATAGAGCAATGGCTGCTTGAGGTGAAGAAGGTGTCTGAGACAGCGTGGAACCTGAGGCTCAGGGATTCTGGGTCGGTGCCTGCAGAGAGCCGGGACGGGGCCCGTGGCTGAAGGTGCCCTCTCTTGTTACTCACACCTGTTTTTACAAAGTGTACAGTCTGCTCAGCTCTAGAAGAAACACTTTGGGGTTGTATGGTCCTGTGACCTTAGTGTTTTGTAAAGTTCTAGGAAGCTTTTCTCACGTGCCAGAAAGGGGCCAGGTTGATAGCAGCTTTAACTTTCAGCTTCCTTAGGGTGCTCTCACACGAGGACCCTGCCTGAGGTTCAACTAGGAGTTGAACTGGGGGGAGAAAGGGGTCATCTGATTGTCTCTGGTGATCTGCATGCCCCAACCCTTGTTTGTCTTTTCTCAATATTGGTAAAAGGTGAGCTTTCAAAGGCTGCCCAACCACAGCTTCTGCTGTAGCCCAGTCCATTGTACCTTTTGATGATTATGGATTCATGGAAGTAGAAGCTGAGAGGAATGTGGAGGAGCTAGTGGATAGCAGAGAACATTAGGGAAGATGAGTGTTTGCTTGGTTAGGGTCCTTTAAATGGCACAGGCCTGGTAGGTACCAATTAAGCTCTGCAAGGCCTAGGAGCCCTAGGCTACCTGTCCAGTGCTTCATGCTTTGTCACGCAAGCCCCTTTGCCAGGGTAAACCTAGACACCCCTGAACTGGACCACACCTGGAGAGTTGTCCTCGCTGACTGGCAGGACAACTCCTGGAAAATGTCTTTGTCCTGAGAGCTGGAAGTCACCAGATGATGTTGAGTTGATGTCATTACTACAGAATTCTCTCTGTCCCTGAAAAACTAAGAATAGAGTTTAAGAGAAAACTGGGACTTCTTTTTAAAATTAAAACAAACAAAAAAAGTTTCTGTCTGTTCATAGACTCTTTTCTTTTGCTGGGTTGAAGGCAGAGCTGAGGGTGTGGGACCCAGGAAACCATGCTTTCTTTGGGGTGGTTGTCCGTTTTTAAGGGGGACTGCCAGCCTGTCCTCCAGTAGCCCTGTGGTAGATCACTCCCACCCCCAGGTCTGTGTTTTCTGTCCAGTCACTCCTTCAAGAAGGGGAGCCCCATACCCTCATGTCCCAGGAGGAAAGAAGTTGTTCTGGGGTGAGGCTGCTAAGAGCTTTACTCTTAGCACCTGGGCACCACCCCTCCACCCCTCCCTGAGTCCAGCTCTTGTGGACAGACTCCTGTGAAGGAGCCAGTTCCTCACTGGCTCAGCCTGGGTGCTCGACAGCAGTGGGTGCAGAGTGCCCTGGGGAGCTAGTCAAAGCTGTGATTCCCAGGAATTCTCCCACCAGGCCAGAGGAGGCCCAGGGACATACGTGCATCTTTATGCAGGTGGCACACCCACTCTCCCTTCCCTCATCCTTTCTACTCTTGCCCTTGCCTCCTAGTTTTTAGAATAAACACACCACCTCCTTGCTCAAGACTTCTTGAGCAGGCTTCTTTAGTTGCAGTGTACAGGCTCTCTAGTTGTGTGTGGGTTTAGTTGCACAGTGGCATGTGGGATCTGACCAGGGGTCAAACCTGCATCCCCTGCATTGGAAGGTGGATTCTTAACCACTGGACTACCAGGGAAATCTCAAGATTTACTAGTCTTTATCTCCAAACCATACGTCTCCACTGAGCTCAAACCAGAATCTAGAACTGTCTTCTAAAACAGTATCTCAACTCAGAAGTCATCTCAAATTCAGCTCATCCACCAGTGTGCCTTTTTCTGTGCTTCTCATGTTATTATCAACACCACCTGCTGACCCAGTCATACAGCCAGGAACTTGGGGTCATCTGTAGTTCTACCCTCTCCTTCACCCCATTCCATCTGCCAAAACCTCCTCAACATCCCTCCATCCCACCTCTGTGGCCCCTGGACATTTGCCCTGGCCTCCTGGTAGATCTCCTTAGAATGAGTTTTCTAAGAAACAATATGATGCCGTTTCTCTCCTGCTTAAAACCCTCTGATACAGTAATCCCACGCATTATCTGACTCAGTCCTTAACAACAGCCCTGTGTATCACATGGATTTCTGTCCACTGTACCATCAGGCAAGTCCAGAGTGGTTTTTTTTTTTTTTAATTTATTGTGGCAAAGTACATAACAAAATTTACCATTTTAAGCATCTTAAGTGTACAGTTTGGTAGCATTAAACACACTCACAATGCTGTGCAGCCATCACCATCACTCATCTCTAGAACCTTTTCATCCTCCCAAAGTCAAACTCTGTCCCTGTTAGACAGTAAGTCCCTATTCCCTATTGCTCCGGCTTCTGGCACCCACCATCCTACTTTCTGTCCATAAGGAGCCAGAGAATGTTTGCTGTTTTGTGTCTCATTTCTTTCTTAAAGTTTTTAAAATTTTGTTTATTTTTATTTTGGCTGCACTGGGTCTTCATTGTGCCACTCTGGCTTAGGTTCCCTGTGGCACATGGGATCTTGCATTGGAAGGTGGATTCTTAACCACTGAATCACCAGGGACATTCCTTTATGTCTCATTTCACTTAGCATGTTTTCAAGGTTCATCCATGTTATAGCATGTGTCAGAATCCATTCCTTTTGAAGGCTGGATGATATTCCATCGTACCTATTGTATATAACAAAAATATATATTGATACAATTCATTTCTGGGTACACTATCCAAAAGAAGTGAAAGCAGGGTCTCAAGATATTTGCACACCCATGTTATTAGGAACATTATTCACAATTGCCAAAAGTTGGAAATGGCACAAATATCCATCGACGGATGAATGGATAAAATGTAATATATACATTTTTGTATATTCTATCATACCTGTAAGTACACGAGTTTGATCTTTGATCCAGGAATATCCCATGTGCTGCAAAGCCACTAAGCCCATGTGTCACAGCTGCCTAGCCTGTGCTCTAGAGCCTGTGAGCTACAACACAGTGCAGGTGCAGCTACCGAACCCGGTGCAGCTACTGAATCCACGCGCTTAGAGCCTGTGCTCTGCAAAAGAGAAGGCCCCGCGATGAGACGCCCACAATGAAGAGCAGCCCCTGCTCACCGTAACTTGAGAAAGCCTGCGTGCAGCAACAAAGACCCAGCACAACCCCTCCAAAAATAAAGGCAGCCATACAAAACCCACTGCAATGATGTAAAGTAATTAGCCTCCAACTAATAAAAATAAATGGAAAAAAAAAAATAAAGTACATAGGATTACAGAGTAAATCACTCATATTGAAATAATGCTGACATTAATTTAAAAAATTTACGCTACAGCAAAAAAAAAAAAAAAAAGAAAAACACCCTTTGATGACTTTCCATTGTCCATGTAATCATGTATTGGATGTTATCAGGTTTTGGCTGCCCAGAGTGTCAACCCCTACAAATGGTCCAACAGCAAGACCTGCTTTTCTCCTTGGACATGAAGGGGCCAGACACTTGCTTGCCCTGATCCCAGCCACCAGAACATCGCATCTGACCTGAGTCAGCCAGTCAGACTGCATGAGGACCTGGACCGAGGACCAGGAGGAGAGGGAAGGATCGTTGAGGATTCAGTGAGGTGAAGGCCTCACAGATCCCATGGCAGCCCCGGACCTCTGTGTTCCAGTGTGGAGATCGCAGAGCACCCCAGTTGGGTCCTGGTGGGGCCCTCATGTGGTCCTGGCAGAGCCCTGCTGGTCCAGACTGCTTGGTGGGACTCATGAGGACTTCAGGGTGAGGCTGCTGGCCAGGTCTCCGGTCTAGGGTCCAGAGAGCCAGTGCAGGCCCTGAGCTCCTGCAAGGTCCTCACCTGCTGAGTTCTGCCTTGATTAGGTGTGGCTTTGGCTCAAGTGTCACATCTGCTCAGTCTTTCCTACCCACCTGTCCCAAGGGTCCAATCCCTGATCAAGGAAGATCCCACGTGCCCCAGGCAACTAAGCCTCTGGGTCACAACTACTGAGCCTGTGCTCCACGACAAGAGAAGCTACCACAATGAGAA